TCTATTAGTACGAGAAAGAAACGTTGACTCGGAGGTGCGTGTTCAACCGGTCCCACAATATCCAACCCCAGCTTTTCCCACGGTTGTTTGGGAAACTCAACTGGTTGCAATGGTGCAGGTGCTCTCTTCGCAGTTTTGTCAGTTGAGTTACATACTGTACAATGTTGAATCCGTTCTTTGATTTCCTGAGACATTCGGGGCCACCAGTACTTGTCTCGGATGATGGTCGTTGTCCGGGAAATACCTTGGTGCGTCTCGTGGCCCAGTTGGACGATGCGGTCACGTAACTGTTCAGGTACCACAATCTTTTCCCCTTGGAAAAGGATCCCGTTATGTAAGGACAGTTGATCTCTTACATTGAAGTAAGGTCTCAGGTCGGTCAGGGCGAAGCTATCATCCGGCCATGATGAAAGGGTATATCGAATCACACGAGGAAGGACAATATCTGTGGTGGTAGCTTCTTGAAAATCCGTTAGTGTCAAAGGAAGCATAATAAGGGAAACTACGTCCTCTTCGAACTGCGTACCGTTTTCTGTGTCTGACACAGGAAGTTTGGAGAGGGCATCGGCGACCACGTTGTCCGCCCCTTTCTGATACTTCATTGTAAAGTTATAATTTAACAACCTTGCTGTCCACCGAGTGATCCGGAGAGGTCGAACTCCAGACCCTTTGTTAGAAAGTAAAGTTTTCCAAGGCTTGGTGATCGGTGCGAATTACGAAATGACGACCCCAAAGGTAAACATGCCATTTTTCGCAGGCCCAGAGACATGCCAGTGCCTCTTTTTCTCCGGTGGAATACATGCGCTCAGCGTTAGTAAGTGAGCGTGAGGCAAAAGCTATTGTCCGTAGTTGGTTTCCTATCTGTTGTTGCAACACGGCACCCAACCCATACATGGAAGCGTCAGTGGATACCACGACTGGAAGCGTCGGATCAAAAAGAGAGAGAATTGGTGCATTTTTAAGGCACCCCTTTACTTTCCGGAAGCTGGCCTCTACTTCTGGGGACCAGACAAAAGGAACGTCCTTGCGAAGTAATCGACGAAGCGGCTCTACTAGAGTGGAACAATGCGGAATAAACTTGTTGTAGTACTCCACAAGTCCTAAGAAAGCTTTAAGCTTCGATGGATCAGAAGGAGCCTCAAAGTTTTGAACATCGTCTACCTTAGACGGGAGAGGAGCTAGCCCTTCCGTGGAAAGACGGTGTCCTAAGTACGATAGTTCTTGAACCCTGAAAACACCCTTACGGTTCAGCTTCATCCCTGCGCGTGAGATGCAGGACAATACCTCTCGTAGGTTTTCGTCATGTTCTCTCTGCGACGAGCCATACACTATGATGTCATCGAGATAAAATCGGACACCTTTGCAGTTCCTCAAAACCTTGGACATGATGTCTTGAAAGGCCGCAGGTGCTGAAGCCAGTCCAAAACAGACTCTTTTAAATCGAAAAAGGCCTTCATGAGTGATGAAAGCGGTCAAATCCCTGCTTTCCGGGGCAAGCCGGATTTGGTGGTAAGCTGAGGCCAGGTCCAACTTAGAAAAGTGAGAGGCTCCTTGCAAGGAGTTCAATAGTTCTTCGATATGTGGTAAAGGAAAAGAGTCGATGATGATGGCCTGGTTCGGCGCACGTAGGTCCACGCACAGACGAATACTGCCATCTTGTTTCCTAACCACAACAATGGGCGAGACCCACTCAGACGCATTCACGCGCTCAATGATGCCTTGATGTTCCAGCCTGAAACTTTCTTCAGATACCGCATCACGCAACGTGATGGGCAACCGACGTAACTTAGATTGAACAGGTGGCACGTTGTACCGCACCTTGACGGTATGGGTGTGATTGTGCACCAAACCCAGCTCCGGGCTAAAAAGATGCTGGAAGTCTTCGAACCCGGGAGGAAGCTGCGATACGTCCCGCGAAGTCGAAGATGCAGAGTGCGCAACAGCTGTCGACTGTGGGGTTCTTGATGAAACTTCTAGGTCCACTTGCTTGTCGGGTGACAGATGTGCCTGTGACAGGTTAACACCCGGTTGTGAAGAAAACAGGATGCCGGGGACATCTGACGAACTTGGCTGGTGCGGTGGTTGGCGGGACAAAACAGTGAACGGCCGGCGCTGTGGAACTTTAACCGACGTCACATCTTGCAGGGGGTCCGGTCTTCCGTCAGCTGCGTTAACATAAGAGCAGCTGTGATCAGCTCCCGACAGAGTAATTTGCAACTCGCGCACAGCATCGATGCCGAGTAAGGAACGTCCATTTTGACAGACATAGAACTCCAGTGATGCAAAACGGTTCTTAAAAACGACTTGGCCAGTGAAGCTTCCAAGGACAGGAATGGTTTCATGCATGTAGTGAACAAGTCTTCGTGCAGGTGGATGTAACTGAATCTGTCCGGAGCGATTAATGTCATTAAAAATTCTCGCGTTTAAAATCGAGACGTGGGATCCGGTATCAATCAGGAGCTTTAAAGGTAGTCCATTTACCTGTACATCAGCGATGAAGGCATTTAGTCGGCTTCGGTCGACTACAGGGGCGTCGTCGACGGACGTGACGTTATACTGGTAGTCGCAGTCGTCGTGCACTCCAACCGTGGCTGGGCCGGATCTCCACGGAGGTGAAGGGCCGTGTTGACGTTCATGGGCGTGGCCCCGGGAAGGAAGGGACGCTTGTCGTTGATCATATACGAAGGAATCTGACGGTGGTCGGCGACTCCTACAAACAGCGGCGAAGTGGCCCACCTTCAAGCAACGGAAGCACTGAGCGTGGAGTGCCGGACAGACGTCACGCGCATGGTTGCGACGTCCACAAAACCAGCAGAGGTCGGGGCCGCCTGCTCGCTCGCCCATTCGTGAAGGAGGAACGTCACGACGCTGTTGCGGACCCACTCGCGCTTGCGGCCGCGGTACATGGTTGACTGCTGGAGGGCAGGGAGTCATCCGGGACGTCCTTGGTGTTGGTGTGTACTGACGATAGGACCAGGTAGAAAAACCTGGGTGGCCATCTTGGTTGAGTACCTGGGATGCCAGTCGCCCTTGACCATCTTGATATCCCCGTCTTGGTGCGTGCGCCTGTTCGAAACGGGGTTGCTCGATGTACTGGACTTCACCGGAGCTTGAAGATGTCCCCGATACCGACGTCTGGCGTTGGTGAAATTGTTCGGAGGTCCGAGCCAGTTGCTCGAATTGTAGAGCGAGCTGTACTGCCCGGTTAAGTGTAGGTACCGCAGTGCCAACGCACTCACGTAGGATACGGTCCTGAACTCGTCTGGAATCGAGGCCCTCAAGGAACACGTCGCACAGATGTTCGTCTAGTGCAGTACCATATGCACAAAAAGAACCCTGATGTCTTAGAGCAGCCAGAAATTCTGAAACTGTCTCTCCAGGCAGCTGAGTCCGAGAGCGCAGTTTCTTGCGCTCCAAAGCAACACATCCCGAAAATTCAAAGTGTTTTTCGAGCGCGGCTAAAAACGCTTCAAACTCGTTCAGATTCTCCGTGGCCGGCACGGTGTTCAGCTGAAAAGCAGAGACAATGCGCTGCCCTTCTACTCCCAACATTGAAAAAAGGACATGCTTCTTCTGAGCCGGCGGAACGTCGTGGATACCGGTAGCATGGAGGTACGAAAGAAAGGCCTCCTTCCACGCCGGCCAGGCCTGTACAGGTGTGCCGGGAACGGCCAAGAAGACTGGAGGTGGAGGAATCGCCGCCGCGATATTAGTCAATACTGATTGAGCCATTGTCAAGTAGGCTTAGATGGGCATGTGCATTCTAATATCCCATCCTCGTCGCCATTTTGTAATTCTCCGCTGCTGTGGGGTCAAACAAGCCTTGAACGCCTTTGGACCTCACTAGATCCGCGCTTACATGGATGGTGTCGGCCGGCTCCGGGGCAGAACCTGCCGATGGGAACGAGACGACAGGCAACCGATCTCGACGGTGACGAGGGCAGATCTGAGGCGAGCGCCTCGAGCAGATTTATTTTTCATATTTTTGGTGGCCGAGTCATGTCTTGCCGTCACGCGGCCCGTGGTTTTATACAACACGTGACACGTGCAATCGGCGCATTGTAGGTGGTGCCATCTCTGAATGAAGGACGGCCGTAAACATAATCACTACACTCCGCGAGCCGGCGGGTGGACCCCGACACCTCATGGATCACAACTACGCAGCGAGCGGAAACGTCTCTCTTCGCCAGACGACGGGGTAGACGAATCGTACGATCCCGATGAGCAGCGACAGCGCACCAGACAATCCAGCAGAGCCTTGCTTATAGGAGCAGCCTGCCACAGGATTCGCATCCCCTGCCCGTGAAGCTGAGCAGACGAGCTTCGGTGCTACTTCGAAGAATCCGCACCGACACCGCCTGCACTCCGCGGCCAGGCAAAGTGGAAAACGTCAAGTGTCCGCTTGTCGCGATGCAGCTACTGCACAGACAACAGGACTGTTAGAACACCATGGTCTCGTAAGGGTCTAGGGTCAAAAAGACGTTTGTACAAGAGTCTAGTGGCCTCCCTGGAAGACCGGATCTTCACCCCCAGTCCGCCAGGTATCCAGGTCGTCGTCTTGCGCTCACTTCTGTACTTCATTTTTGAAGTGGGCATCCAGGTGCACATTTAGATTCCTTCTTTTAGTGTTGGTGCCGTGACGCCGAGACCTCGCAGCTACCCAGGCACCTCGCTCCCCCCCCCCCCCCCCCCCCTCCACCCACTCACAAATGTATCTCCCGTGTCTTATGGCAAATAAACATATATTACTACACTATACAAACTGACTTCCTCTAGTAACGTTGACAGGAAAACACCAAGGGGTGTGCACATAGGTCACTTCTCACGTGACACCCGCGTGTCATTGCTTACCCGGGACACCGCGGGACGAAAACGACGACGACAAAGGGGCTTGGCAATCGTTCGAACGATGATGCCCGAAGGAGGTAGAAGCATGATAGCTGCAAGTGGGTCTTCAGCTCGGTTCTTACCGCGAACCCGGCAGGCCGACCGGCCACCGACGAAGGACACAGCCGACCACGTCATGGCGAGGGACACAGCCGACCCGCCCAAATGGGCATTTGGATTCCTACCGATGTCGCCAAGAGGTAAGTTTTATTTACCATTCATTCTGTGAATAGGCTTCGAATGGGGCAGGCTTGAGTTGATAGACTACTAGATATTAGGTCACACGCCCAATCTAGGGCACCGTTTAAATGCAATAAGCTTGGTTATTTTCCAAATCACCCCTCCTTTCACTCCTTACCCACTGAAAACTTCCAGGCGCAACATCGAAACGCAGCATGTCGCCTTCGATTCACCAAGCTCGACTTTTAAAAAGGGTAAATTGAAAGGGTTTGGAGACTAATAGACAGGGGGTTGGAGCGTTGGGACCACTGCCTCATATTAGCTCGTGCTCACAAAGCCCGTCCCGCAAGTCCGATCGTAGACAGAGAAAGAAAATAAATAATGACTGTAAAAAAAAATACAGGTTGTCAAAAAAAAAAAAAATTACAGGGTTTTTTGCACCGAAAAAATAAACCAGGCATCGCCGAACGCTCATTCTCCGTCCAAAGGTAGAGCCAGAGGTTACAGCCAGATGCCAAAATTTCAGCCCGATCCGATACCTTATTCAAAAGTTACAAGTGATTTTCTGAAAACTTCAATGAGAGAAGGGAGCCCATTTTTTCCCGTTTTCTGTTTTTGGCGCAGTGGAGCTCCATGTATTCGAGAGCTCCGTCTGCCGCCATTTTTTCATTAAAGTTTTCAGAAAATCACTTATAACTTCTGAATAAAAGATAACGGTTGGTGCTGAAACTTTGGCATCTTGCTCGAACGGCTGTTGCTACGTTTTCTGACGTAGTTGGAGCTCAACGCAATGTCTAGTTTATTTTTGCGGTGCTAAAGGGGTATTCACACGAGGGAGAAATCCCGGGGATTTCTCCCCGGCACGCGCATATCACGAGATGAAAACGCGAGGCTTTTGCACATCGCAAAGCCTGTCGTTTTCGTCGTGGGATGCGCGTGCCGGGGAGAAATCCCCGGGATTTCTCCCTCGTGTGAATACCCCTTAAAAGCCGGGTTCGGATTTCTCACAAATACCCGGTAGACAACCTGGCACGCAACAGTTGAAACACCAATGTTTCGGTGACTTGTACTGTAACGTAAGAAAACAGTGCTGTGTGAACCGGCCTTTAGGCCTAACCTTTGGCATAACCCTACGTCATCACCTGTCACATATGATTACGTTATGACGTGCCCTATTAAGTTAGGCCTAACTTTAGTCGTAATCACGCAAGGTTACTTGATTATGTAATCCTGTGTATTCAGGCCCAATGTGAGGATAGACCTGTTCTATAATTACGTAAGTTGCGTGAATAACCAATGAGGACGTGTTTACGTGATCACGTAATCTTAGGTAATCATGCCCATGTTAAGGTAGGCCTAACTTTACGATAGGTAGGCCTACTTTAGGTTGGGCATAATTACGCAAGATGGCCAGTATTCTGCGTTTATAGAAATACACTCCTGAAATCTCGGCCCCGTCACGGCGGCCGCAATGCCTTGCCGGTCCGAGGAGGCCAAATGAATGGGAAGATGGCGAACCACTTTCGGGACAGCACACCCGGATTTCGTAAAAACGGCTTCCTTTAATTCTTTATTATTTCTTTGCTAGACAAATATAAAAAACGACATAAACGACAACAAAACATCTAGGATTATTTTTGAGGCAAAGTTCGATTTAAGTCATATCACAGAAAAACCGGTATTATCTAAATCACGATTTAAATCATCTTGATATTTATTTTCCTGTTTCGAACTGTCTTGCTAAAAGTATCTTCGCTTGCATACTGCACCTGCTTGTGCGCAATCATGGCCGGGCCACATGCAGCCCTGGAAAAATGGGATGCCATGCAGCCCATTCTTCAGCGTCGAAAAATTTCGTCGTCAGATTTTTACCATAACCTAGAACGAGCATTAAAAAGTTCTGGATGCTTATTTCCCGTCAAAAATGGAACTGTGGTATGCGCCCATCATTTCTGAATACACGTGTTGTTTTCAGCGAACTGACGACAAAGTTCCGCAAATTGCCTTCCATGCCATCAGGATAGTAGTGTCTAAGATTAAAAAAAAAGAAGCTTAGAAAAGGGGTTTCTAAAAACCTCCGACGTTTGGCCCAGAGATTTAGCTCATATTTCAAGTTCTTGGCAGAATATAATTGTGGAAACTCACTCTCAGTGCGCGCGCTGTAAATGACGACCTCAAATATGCAGTCCGCAGTTCATAGTATTTGTTGTCTCGGATGTGCGAATGTAGACGTACACCTTACGGTCATCAACTTTTGTCTTGTATGCAGGGGGCGAATCCACTCGCGACGCAGAGGGGATGACTCTCCGTGAGCGGCAAATTTCAACAGCCCTGTTTTGGTTCACCTCGTCCGTTCTTACGACCCTTGTTGGCACCATCGTACTAGTTGCTTTCATCATTCCTGCCAGCCAGAATGAACGGACCCTAAACTGCGAGACATCGGAATGCCTCGCCGCTTACAGGTACCTTCACGAGCAGCTGGACTCCAACGTCCACCCTTGCGATGACTTCTACGGACACGTCTGCCGCAAGTGGAGCAAAATCCGCGAGGGTGTAGGTTTCCTCTCAGACTCACTCGATCGCTTCTTAGTCAAGATAAGTACCACCCTGCAGAACTCCAAGCCGCTGGAAGCAACTTCTTTGCACCACATTCTGCAAACGGGACGCCAGCTGCTGAACCAGTGCTTCGCATTCATGCAGAAAGGGGAGCACAGTATTGAGCATGATGTTCAGTCTGCCATGGACCTGATGGACATAGCGGGAATCTTGGCCAGCACGTCGCCGCTGGAAGCGCTTAGGCGAGTGATGCGGATGTCTTTCGACTACAACATCAAAACGATCGTGGGACTTCGTCCACTTAAGCTGAGGGGTACCGTTTACCTCCAGCTGCTCAGCGGCGCACCCATTCGGAACGAACTCTGGCTGGAGGTGACGGATCGCGAGCTTGAGTCCTACTTCGCAAACGTGACCAACATCTTGTGGCGAAACATGGACGACTCGTCGCTTGCCGCTACTCTGGTTCGTATGGACAGGGAGGTGTCCCTGCTTCTCGAAGGACCATCGCAAGACGTGTGGTTTGATGCTGAAGCTTTCAGCGCGGAACCTGATTTTCCGCGCGAGCTTTGGGAGGATCCCCTGAAAGAACTTGTTTCGAACCAGCGTGATGACGCGATAAAAGGTGCAATTTTAGTCACTGATTACAACCAGACTAGAAGCCTGCTGACTTTTATTCAGACCTGCCCCACGAGATTCGCGTCTTCTTATCTGGTCATTCACGCCTTGGTCGAGGTGTTGAGGTTCGACTTTGCGAAGCGTTTCGAAGACACGTCCCAGTCCAGAGTACGGCACATCTGTTTCGAAGCGGTCAATCGGGCCCTCGCACCTGATTGGTCGGGAGTGGTCCGTACCCTCCTCTTCACCGACGCACACCTCGCCAAAGTCGCAGCAATGTTCGACGATATAAAGCGTACCTCCACTTCCAAAATCTGGAACGGCTGGATGAATAAATCGATGGGCGACATGGCCCGCACAAAACTTGACAGAACGACCCTAACATCGCACGGAACGCTATTTAGGAATTCCACTCGCGTCGTGTTTCGTCCAACATTCGAGGGGTTCCTAAACGGCACGTTCATCTTCAACTACATATCGCTTCTGAAATCTTCACGCCCTCAACGTCTGCAACACCCAATGGACACGTTGCAAGCAGGGATCGCATCCCTTGAGGTACGAGGGCAAGCCCTGTACTCGAACAGGCACAGAACACTCTTTCTACCCTTGATGTTCCACTACGACCCCGTCTTCTATGGCGCCAACGTCGCTCCCTACTACAACTACGGAACTCTGGGCGCCATCTTCGCGAGGGGTCTGGCCGAGGCCATAGACCCTTTCTCTTCCTGGAACTATTCGACATCGAACTGGTGGACGGAAGAGGCGCTGCGCGAGTTCTCGTACCGGATCTCGTGCTACCGGAACCTCCACGACAACGCCCGGCCCCAGAAGCCCCATGACGTGGACAAGCTGACTCCAGAGGTCCAGAGCAGTCTGTTCGCCTGGCTTCACGGTTCTCGGGTCGCCTACGCGAGCATGGAGCGTAACTTCACCAGTTCGTCGACGCGGTTTGCCAAGAAGAGGCAGTGGAAGAAAGCGCAAAGAGTGTTCTTTCTTAGGTTCTGTCTCGCGTCCTGCGGACTGGAGCGCAGCGAACCACTCGGTCCGAGGGAGAAGTGCGTTTGGCCGCTCCTGAACATGCCCGAATTTGTGGAGGCTTTTGACTGTCCCGCAAATTCGTTCATGAAGGTGCGTCAAAAGTGCCACCTCTTATGAATGACGCCGCCGCCACGAGGTTTTAGAGGAAAATGGGAGCATGTATTGTTGTAACTTGTCGGGACTCCAGGTCACCTTAGCATGCGAATTCACTATCGTTGCTTTTCCGACGATAGCACTATTTTAACAGTGACACTAAATAAGGTTTTAAACACAGTTGTCATAGAGCCTCTCGAACACGACACTGTGTCAATAATTTTATTGCACACCCAAGTCGGTATTTATAATAAATCGATGTAATCAAAAAATGCTCTGCTCATCTTAAAAAAAAAAAAAAAGAATGACACTGATTTGAAACGAAAAATCTCATCAGTCTGGGGTGTAATCCGGGATTAAAGCTCACCGAATCGTCTTAAGTATTGTAATGATGTCAGTCGTTGCCCTCTTTTTACTTGTCTAGCATGAGTTCCGAAGAATACCATTTTGACCCCTCGGTGCCCATGGCGCGTCAAAGCATTGCCCTTTCTGGTATACTCACCTCGGCAAGCAACTACAACGCTAAGGTCAAGAAAAGCATGTTTGGTTATGTCTCTTTGTGAGAAAGCTGGCATCGACCTACGTCACTAAAAGTGGGTTCGCCGGAAGTCACGTAAGTTTCACTCCTCGTGCTCTCCGCGACAGTACCTAAGACTTTTTTTTATCTTTTTTTTATTCTGCTCTTTGTACGAGCGATCACAGAAAACGGAGTTTCAGTTCAACTAGCTTTTTATTGCTGCACCGTTGGTTAGTTCGCGTGCTGTAAAAGTTGAGGACGAAGAGTCAGTGGATCGACGTGATGGAGGTCAATGATGAAAGCGCTGCGAGTACAAGCCAGTGTACGAGTGCATGCCGTCAGTCCAATGATACAGAGCTATACTGGGCACAAAACAAGCTATCAAGTTTAAAAAAAAAAAAGTTTAGAACCCTTGCAGAAATTAGGATTGCTAGCATACGACACGCCCGATCGTATTGCTGAAGGTCGTTGAATCATCGAATCCTCTTCAGGCTGAGGATGCCTGCCGTCTAAACAATACGAACTGGTGAGTGTACCAAGTACAAGTAAACGTCAAGCATAAAGTACGTGTCTTGTCTAGAACATTAGTAGAACTTGTTTACTAGGTGCACATGCAGCCGATGCGTCGTGATGCCTGAATTCAAACCTCTTGAGTGCCGCTGCTGCAGGGAAATGGGCAGGAAACTTACAGACCTGCAGTTGAGATCTCACATCGATACCTGTGAGTTTTAGTAAATTTCGCCTAGGGTTGTAATCTTCATCACTAAAGTGCATCGAGCATATCCATCGCCTACCCACGAATTCTAATAGCTGTTCTGCGGGAACCGCGGCCAGCCACCGGTCCATCTCTTGTATGTCTCTCGGAAATGCATGCAGTGCGATCTCTCCTTCAGTTGCTGAAATACCGGGGCAGTCCCTCGCACAGCACCTTCTAGGCATTGTAGTTGATCACGTCAATTCACTGACTCCTCTTTTTCTATTTACAGCTACATTAAGCGATGAAAAGCAAATAAAAGAAACCTTGTCTGCTTGGATCGCTCGTGGAGGTGCGAAGAATAACAAACATTTTTTTTTTTTTAATATTACACGCTTTCGCGGTAAGCACGAGGAGGGATACAACTCACGTGACTTCCGGCGTTGCCTCCCTCCTCTGCCTCCCTCCGGACCGTCCCTACACCTTGTGGTACACTGTTACGTCACAGTGCACTGGCGGGAACTTTGAATTGGGCCTCGTATTTCAATTTTTTTATTAAGAAAAAACTACGCAACTCTATAGCGAAACCTTTTTTTTTTTTTTTTAATGTGTCAATTCAACAACTAGCATAATTTTTTTTTTTTTTTTTTTTTTTTGCGTGTTAGTCGCTTTTTAAGTAAACAAAGGGACTTGCTGTCAATAAGACCGTCCTCGGGGAAGCCCGGAAGTCGATGAATGTCGGAGACGTTCCATGTTGACAGCGACTTTTCGGGAGTGAGCGAAGTCCGCGTAGCAAAGCCCGTCGTCTGCTAAACCCAGCTCATCAAAACCGCCACCGACTCTGCGGTAACTCTAGGTAACTCTTGTCTCATGGAGCTGCACTACAATGTTCGCTCAGCGGAGTCACTCTCGACCACAAAACATTTATTTATAAGGGCGAGGGCTGTCAGTTCTAATGTTTGTGCACAAGTTATACGGCAGGCTTTCCGAAAAGCAGCCAAAAAGTTTCAGTACTGATAATGGCTTAGAAACAGGGGAAACGGCACTTTTTCTTGTTTTTCCCAGAGAGTCTCAGGCATTAGCTGGTGTCAAGCGATGGCTGTCGGTGGTGCCACTTAGTGCCACTCACCCCCAGCAAAGCAATCCTCGATCCGCGATCCAGATTACTACAATCGACATCAGTGGTCTAAAGCAAGAAAGAGGAAGATCGCGTTGGTTTTTTCGCGTTGCAGACGAGAAGCATCATGCGTGACTGAGAAGAAGATTAAGAAGATAGACCTTCTAAGGACAACTCGGGGGCCTGCATCAGTGAGTACGGTACTCATATTCCATCCCCGTGGGTAGAAACGAGACCGAACAAAGAAGGTTGTATACGCTATTGTAGATATTCCGAACCAGAAATGTAAATGTAAATGTTTCGAACCTGTTTGATGGCTTGCGATTGGAACTTGCATGCGTTGTTCATGCAAGTTGATGAGTATGTACTGGCGGCCATAACTGTGTGAGCGACTGGTGAACGCTTTCTGACGGCAAGCTTCCACAGTTCTTTTGCAACGTGCATTCCGCACCATCAAGATTACCGGTCTTAGCAGCCAATACATGTAAGCTCGTTCTGAGCATGCGCTCTAAACATCGCCCTCAAGTATACGGCGTCCAGTGAATATTGTTGGTACTTACTTGAAAAGAAAATTTCCAAGCATCTACCGTGATTAACTAGGTTTAATAGAAACAATATCTTTAGAGTCTGGGGACACAACGTGTCCCCAAAGACTTTTTTTTTTTTTTTTTTTTTTGCAGAAAAAAATTATATATATTAGAAATCGCCAAGCGCTCATCCTTCGCCCAAATGTAACGTTAGAGGTCCGAATTAGATGGCGACGTTTCAGAACGAACCGTTATCCTCTTGAAACGTTACAAGCCTGAGGAAAACCTCCCACATCCCTCAGAGATGTCTACGTCAGTGTGCATTTCCGAGAATGCGTGAAGTATTTGACGTGTGATGCCTATCGCGGGGATGAAAGAGAGGGGTTTCTCCCCCGTGTGAATGCCCCTTCATTTGTTCCATAAAAACACTCCTGGGCGTTTTCAGATAAGATCGAACAACCATGTCCAATGACCATTTTCAATTTTGATGAAAAAAAAAATATTTTGCTGGCTTCATACCCAGAAAAATAAAACCAATCCTTGTATCCGAAAAAAAAGAAAATTGTCTTTGCGAAAAAATTTTGTAAGCACTTCTTAGTCACGTGCGCGTTTTGCGTATCGCGCGATGTTGACATTTCGGGCGGCTTCCCCCAAAAAATACTGTTCTGGCTACGGGTCTAGAAATATTTACTGACAAATTAGGCACAGGAAGGATTTATAAAATGCATTAACCACTGAGTATTAGGGTCGTTATTTTGAGAAAAAAGTATCGCAAATGCGGCACATTGCGCAATAACGCTCTGGAATAAAGATTTTTTTTCCCCTCCGTATCTATAAAAGCTAAGGTCTTCAAACTTTGCCACTGTGTCGCCATGTATATAGTGCATCTTTTGCGTGAAATATTGTTCTCCTGGTTAGCGAGAGAAACTTGCGAGAATTGCTCACACAGGGCCGTTTAACTAAAAATGCATTATTTTGAAAATCATATAAAAAATAAAACCATCTTTAATTCTTGAAAACGAACAGCGAAAAAGACGGGACGGAAGACAGGAGACAAACAACCGCTGAACTTACAACTGAAGTTTGAATCGTCAAGGCACAAGCCATATACACGATCAAACAAAGGAAACACACAAAGCCAATAACACCCCACTGAAGCCCGCACAATCATCGCACATGCTGTCGTCTTGAAAGGAAATCTAATTCTTTAGCTTAGATTAGATTTTCTTTCACCGCGACAGCATGCGCGATGATTGTGCGTGTTTCAGTGGGGGTGTTATTGGCTTTGTGCGTTTCCTTTGTTTGATTAAAACTTCAGTTGTAAGTTCAGCGGTTGTTCGTCTCCTGTCTTCCGTCCCGTGTTTTTCGCTGTACGTTTTCAATAATCATGCCTTACCAACACGCCCAAGCTTCCATTCTGAACAGTTCATCTTTAATATCCTTTAAACTCTCTGAAATTAACGTTTATAATATGTATACTAACAGAGTCTGCGAAAACATAATGCAATATTTGTGTGGCCTTAAAGTTATAAAGCGAGAAATATGGCCAAATTGACGCTAATTACGCGGTTGCCATAGATGGGGCGTGCAGATACCCGTTCTCTATAATTTCATTATTATTAAAAAGCGCAAAAATGCTACGGGATGGTCAGGAAAAGGACAAATTAACAGCACAAAGGTGGCCGGTAGTTTTAAAGAGAAAAGTCCTAATACATTTTCGTACAACCGACCCAAAAATGGCCATCGAGGTGCGCCACCCTGTAACATGTTTCGCGGTACCTGTTTTAACAGCCGACGCATAGCGTCTCCGTCTACGCGACGTAAAGGAAGCAACCGGAGCGACTTTGCAAACAGAGGAGCCTACAACGTCACACCCCGCGGTTGTTTTTTGCGTCTTTTCTCGCGTCTATTGACGCACTCGGGTCAAATGCTTGGGATATTCAAATTCACGGGACAAAAATGCGCTAGAATTCACTTCTAACTCTTTTTTTTTCTCAATAACTTTTTTTTTTTTTTCTTTTTTTTTTGTCAGCGCACTGGGTCAGTGGTCTTGAGAAAATGCCACCCCAATTTTCTTCAAATCACTCACCACCGAAAAAGTGAATCTACCGCTTATCTCCTCCAGGTTCATTTGGGGCAACAAGTCGTTGTACTGGTCACGACAATCAATCAAGTTCAATCAGTCAATTAATCTATTTTTCTCCGTTTGAGAGGGGAAGACAAGAAAAAGAAAATCAGCGTTTAGCAGCTTGGCGATGTCTTCGCCTCAGCTTTGCTACATTTGCAGAAGGGTACATCGCGGTTACACCTTTTCGAACGTACAAAGAGCCATAGCGAGATCAAAGAGGCTACAATGACAAAACAAAAAAGTCTTACACCAAAAGAACAAGTATATTTACGTATTCATTGTACTCGAAATGTTGACCAGTTAGCACATGCGCAAAAGTGGTAAAAGGAACCCCATCATACCCCCCCCCCCCCACACACACACACACAGAAATACGCACAAGAGCAATGAATGTATTAGTCAAACAAGTTACGAATTTAAAGTTTCAAGCCACTGTTCCGGTTTCCAGTTTTTAGGGGAAAGAAATTTAAAAAAAAATAGAATCTAAAAAACAAAACAAAAAAGAATGAACTCAGATAAACCCCGAATTTTCGTCAAAAAATCAACACCGAATTGGACGAAAAATAAACTCCGAAAACACGGAACCCTATACTTCTGAGCTTACAGGATCTGGCGAGTGATCTCCCGACTCCGTCGGCCAGACTGGACCGATATGAGCGACGATCCGACAGAGGCCCTCAAAGATGCCAAGAAGTCTTCCAAGGTCGCCGTCAACCCCAAATACACGGTCACCAAGCACGGAATGCTCAACATCGCCGAAGTGGTGAGGACTGTCTACGCGGTACGCTGTGAGACATGCTCCCCCGCGACAGAGAAGCCGATTTCTAACGCAATAAGCAGACCTCAAGCGAAAGAACGGGCGATCGTGGTTCCATCGAAAGGGCCATGCCGGCTACCACGCGCTTCAAATTGCGGGGAAGTTCGGGGCATTTATCTACCACGTACAAAACGAATTCTTCTAAGATTAAGCGAAAGAATACCGAGACAACCGATGAATCTGTTTGTTTGTTTTCGGATACAAGCACATTAAAGGGATACTACAACGAAATTTCGGCGCTCATTTTTTGGTCTATATGAGTTCAAAAGAGCAGTATCACATGGAACATACCAATATCTTGTTAAAAAGTCTCGAAAAGGAATTTTAGAACGAATTAAACGATTAGCAAAGAACACCTGGTGGATGTCGCTAACGCCTCGTTTGTGATTCTCGTCTAGGAACCTTGACAGCTAGTGACGGAGGTTGTCTCGTCTCCGGCCACGACGAGAGAAGGGGGGAAGGAGGAACTCCCCTCTTCCCGAGAATGCCTTTTGTGTGTCGCAGAAGTCGCTATTGTCCCCCTAGAAGATTATAGAAAATTAACCCGTCACTCAAAATTCGTACAAAAGCAGCCGCTTCGGTGGCTGGAACGACTAGGCCATCCTCTCGACGTCAGCCTCGCCGTAGCTTTGCTCGTCTTGAGACAACCTACGTCACGATTGCGTTGGATGTCACGTGCTCTAAGCTGGGCCTTCTCCGAGCGCTTGCCAGAGTGGGCCGTTTATAACGAAAAATGCAGCCACTCAGGATCAAAATACAAGCGTGCGATTGTCATTTACGGATATTGTGGATCATATTCAACCTATTTTTGAACATGACGGGAATATTTCAAATTTCGTTGAAGCATCCCTTTAAAACGGTTAGTAATAGCGAAGTCAAGCGAGCCACTCGTGTTTAATGAATATGTCTATGCGGAGCACAAGATCTTCTGCTTCTTTTTGCAGTGGGTTGTGTCGACGTCAAAACGTGAAACTCTGATTGGCACTGGTTCAAGGACAGTGGGTAGACCTCGAAGCAAGCTGCCTCGAGGTCTACTCACTATCCTTCAATCGGAGCGAGTTAGAGCTCGGCGTTCTGAGGTCACGACAACCCCTACAAAAGTAGCAGACGAACTTACCCTCCGACACGAACCGATAGTCAATCGCGCAGCGGCAAAAGCGCATCGTCGCGGCGGTCGTAGTCTATAGACCTTTTTCGTGTTTTCTCGTCCCCAGCCGGTATGGGCGACGAAAAAGTAATAAAACGTTTCAATCTTTAAATAGTAAAAGAATAGAGAGGAGGCAAAACGAGAATGTGTGACGGTTATGCTTATATCGTAAATGCCTTCTATTGGCGTGGCGACGGCAAAAAAATGTTTTCGCCCATATACTGGAAGTGACGACAATTCAAGGTGGCGGCGCCCTTGTGAAAAAGGTATCACAAGCTACCTCCCGTTATAAAGGTATCACAAGCTACCTCCCGTTATAAAGGGTACAGCCATTAGCATCCATCCAAATTCATCCAGCGTTCGCTATCAGCGGCTATACGGACCCCAAGTTCGTCTGCTTCAGGTTGTGGTGACGTCAGAACGCCGAGCTCTGCAACGTTAAGGTCCGTTCCCACTCTTGCAACCGAGTACGACCGAGAGAGACCAGACCGGTTTTTAATCCTCTTGCGACGTCTTAGGACCAGCTCCGCAGCAGCGCGCCCGGTCCTAAGAAGTCGCGAGAGGATTAAAAACCGGTCTTGTCTCTCTCGGTCGTACTCGGTTGCAAGTGTGTGAACGGGCCTTTACTAGATTACTTCAGTTGTGGAACTCCTGCGGAAGGGGATAACCCCACTCACTCACTTCAATCCGCCTGCCGTCGTTTGAAGCGCCATCTAGATTTTCGTTTCATAACTGCGTATTCTATAGAACAGACCTTGAACGCCACCTAGACGCTGTGTTTCGAAACGTATCTATTCAACAGAATACAGCGCAGTTACCATAGCAGCCGTCTGGCGCGTCGATCGACGGGAGGCGAGTCGTGGTGAGTGATGGGGGGGTGAGTGATTGGGGGGGGGGGGGGGGGGGTACAGTTCGTGTAAGCAGCGTCTTTGAGGTCTGCCCACTCTCCTTCAATCAGAGCCAATCAGAGCCCGGCGTCTTTCTGACGTCACCGCAACTCCTGCGCAAGAAGCAAGCGACTTGCTGTCCGCATAGCGATCACGCACCGTGAATGCGGCGTGACCCTGCGTTCTTTCGGTGTGTGATTGGTTTAGCCGATGATACCAAACGCACGAAGACGACGACCACCGTGACGGCGCGCTTTCGAAGCTGCCCCGATTGGCTCCGTCCGTTCGTGGCGTTGACTGCAATGGAAGCTCCAGTGAACGTTTATACTCTGATTACGAGTGTATAATACGTATACCCGCATAAAAGATCACCGCGGACCTTCGCGCAGTGCGCGGCAGTGGCATCGGTCGTCTGCGTGCTACTGTCTGGCACCGAGCATACGGCGTCGCGGGTGACACTGATGGTGTCGTTCGCCTTCGCCTACGTGTCCTCGGTAATGCTGCTGGGAGGCATCTCATCGCCCTACACTCAGGCCTACCTCCCGCTCTCTCTCTACGTGAGTACTACTTCGCTGTCTGCCTTGAGCTATAGTATAGGGCCGTCAGCCTTCGAATGTTCGAGAAAAAAAGAACGCCACCGAAAATAGCCTGTTGTATGCGGTAGCAGGGTCATTCAGATTGTGCAAGACGATGACTCCACGTCCGGTTTCTTTCTTTCCATCAAAGAGTATGCTGTCATCATAGTCGCAAAGTGGAAGACAGCGATCCGCGCATGCTACGATGATGCATTGTGTGGCAGGTCGTTTCCCGTGTTGATGGTTTTAAATTTGTAGAACGTTGGGCCATCTGGCGTACTCAGTGGGTGCATTCCGACGTCTCATACTCGCATAGACCCTACTTTTGCTACGTAAAAATGCATCGGTGTCATGTTCTGCGTGAGTGGCCGAACCACGGATAATAGTCACGTTCAGTTCCAAATCAAAAATTACTAAAAAGCCAAAAAAAAAAAAAAAAATCGCGTTTTTTTATTACTATAGTTTCCGCTTCATCAGCTGCGGCAGATCGCCTCCGAATAAAATGGAAACAGACGACATCGGGCTGATAGCTTTCATTTGACGCTCGGGTATGGAGGAGGTCTCGACAAGGCCGCTAGAGAAAACTTGAGGCGGGTGACGAAACATCTGCGTTGCGGCTTGAAGCGATCCAAAGTGATCGAGCCCTTCGCATGCAGGCGGTGCAAAGGCTGCGATTGTTATCCAACAATAAAGACAAAATGTTAAAAAAAAAAATATGGAACTAAAAAGTATGTTCGCTGAGCGATACTTTTATACGGCCATTACGTTTGTTCCGCACTTATTTACAAAATTCCTTTCAAATGTATTCGTATGCACACTTGAAGTCGGCCGCGAACGGCGATTAAGTTTTTGTTCGTTGACGCGAGTGTCAGCCCATGTCTCACAATCACATAAGCCCTAACTCCGCTACGTAAAAAGGCATCGGTGTAATTAATTAATTAATTAATTAATTAATTAATTTTGTGTGGCCCACGAACACCATGGCGCATTTTTAGTTTGGGGGGGGGGGGGGGGGGTCGTACAGGCAAAAAAAGGGGGAGAAGTTGTTCTTGCTGGGATGCAGAACTGTTTCTCACAAAAAATTAAAGGGATCCCGAGAGAAAGGAAGTAAGAGTGACTATGGATGATGTTGTGAATCACTGGCACGTGCTCACGTGTACACACACATATGTGCACGTCCACACACACACACACACGCACATAGATGGGCACTTCTTGCCCCAACAAAGACAAAAATTGTCTTTTCTGGGTTGGTGTTCCCTGCCACAGCCTCTCTGACAGGCCGCGGTGGCGCTCAGGAAGTTTAGTAGCAGTTGCTGAAAAGCACGACGCCGGCGTGTAGTTCCAGTCGGGTATAATATGTCATCTATTTTCGGTGCCGTAATGCCAAATTTGGATAGTTCTTGGAGGAATTCTTGTCACTGTATTTTTCCAGATTAGTATGAAACAGCAGAACAAAAATAGAAAAAGGAAGAGAAACTGTTCTGCGCGAGTGGCCGAACCGCGAACCTAAGTCACGTTCAGTTTCTGTCCTGCTCTGTTGACCACGGAGAGCACGACCGTCGATAATCACCTACTTTCCATGCATCGTCGATCAAAACACGACTGCAGGAACGTTTGCGTGGTTTGATTTTGTTTTGCCGACCGAAGTGTGAAGTAATACTGAACGTGACCAGAATTGGCGTACAAACTGATTCAAATTAGAAGTTCCGATAAGATTTCTTTGTTTCAGCGTCTTGAACTTCGTGAGTCGCTTTTCGCAGTTCCTGCTGTACCACCTGGTGGGCAGCAGTTTCTTTCTGATCACCTCCGGCTGGCTCCTCTCCGTCGCGAAGGAAGAGGTCCTCGACAAAGTGGCTGCGGTGGGTAGGGGACATTTTACGTCGCCACTTCCACTACCAGACACTCAGATGAACCGTGTTTCGAACCAGTTCTTCCAAGAGCACGTAGCTTCAAAAATAAAAAAATAAAAAACACTAGTATTAGTGTTATAGGCGTTATCGAAAAAAATAAAGTCACTGGTTACGAACAGAACGTAAGGGCGTGAGTAAGCTTGTGTATGCTGAACATTTTGAAGGCACCAGAGATTCAGGAAATACGAAATTTGACACCAAGAGAAGAGAAGGAGAACTCGTTACTTGAACATAAAAGGAACGCGTTACATGCTGCCGATACAAACGTAACGAAGGTTACGTTTGCGTTACTTTTTATTTATTAATTAGATCGTTCTAGTGTTTTGACGTTACAAGAATACGTAAGCACCATATTCAAAAAAAAAAATGTCTATGCAGAAAATAATTCCTTAACTACGTTATTATTATTATTTTTTTACTGTTTTGATATTGAAGGTAAATGTGTGAGGAGAGCACGAATGCATATGACTTGGCGTACGTTACCGAAAACTGTAACTCGCCACATGTAAGGCTGTTACTTGTAACGCGTTACCGCCAACACTGACTAGCACGCAAGGGTATAGAGACATAGTTTTCTTTTTGACATTTTGTTTAAAAAAATATTCAGCAATTTTTTTTTTCCTTCCACCAGAAAGCTCGTTATATTTTTACGGCGATGCGTCCATCACCTAGTGGATAACGACGCCGCGTTGGTGCATTTTCGGCGCCCCCCAAACAAGGCGTCCACGAGACTGGACACGAATGTCAACCGAAGGATGACGCAGCACTCGTGGTGAAGTCAGTCAGTCGGAGTCTTGAGAGCAAGAAAATCAAAGGAAGTGTTGCTGAGCCGGAAGCTCAATATGTCACCTTTTCGTGGTGAAGCTGTGTTGCGCGACGGTCATATTTGGGTGACCCCGAAAATTTGAGACGGGGCGGCCTATAATAGGCAATTAGAGGGAACCAGTGGATCTTAATGGGAGCATGCAATGGCGCAGAGGGAGAGAGGACACGCGAAACAAAAAACAAGAAAGAGGGGTTGATCAAGCGTGTGACCGTGCTTCGTTCCAGCACATTCTCATTAGTAAGTGTGACAATGTCCCGAACGCGAGTTCTCCGCTTATTGCAGTGTCTCTGGTAGAACTTTCGTCAGTCGACAAAGATCAATCGTATCTTTCCGAAATATTTCCTCTCCCCTCTCTCAAAAATCCAAACCTCGATTGCAAAAAAAAAAAAAAACTCTAACGTTTTGTTGTTTTTTTTTTGTTGTTTTTTTTTATTGGGGCGCTGTTTACAATGCCGCACACAGACGACACACAATAACACTAAAAGCTACCCATGACGTCATATGACGTCACAGTATCGCGTGACGTCATGGTGTCACGTGTCACCACGAAATATTTATCCCCTTAATTTGGCCGGGAAACATTTAACGGTAACTAGTGGCCATGTCGCGTGACGTCACGTCACGACTTACACAAAACAGACCCGGGTGGACGCAAGGCCAAACTGTTCGAACACGTTGGAACGCTGACGGTGAACACTGGACGCCGCGGCGTTTGGACGCGTTCGAGGAGTGAGTAGAGAGACAGAGGCAACTAGGCTTTGCTTCTGCCCACAAGTCATTCCAACCAGAGATCGGTGTTCTCACGTCCTCGTTCGCTTCCGACTCCTCCTTTCCCTTACTTTCTATCCGTATAGCAGACGACGTGCTTCTGTTTACCCACAGCAGCGCCGCAGCCCGCCAGCACCCTCTCGGAGCAGTCCTCCAATCAGAGCTCGGGGTTATGGCGTCAACCTCTGCACGATGATTGGTCCAGGCGCAGTGGTAGCAGACCGGATGGGTCCCCCAAACTCTACAAATCGCCATTTTACTTCCCCTGCAGGGATTGGGCCTCGGATCGGGAGTGGTGCATTTCCTCCACGGCCTGTACACGTTCGTCACCGTCTTCGACCAGCCCATAGCGAAAAGCGCCGGAGGACAGTGAATTCGGTCCTGCAGACCCAGGTTCCTTCCGGTGTCGCGCGGTGCTACAAATTGTAAAACTGTTAATTTCAATAATGAAACGATAATTTATTCTCTCGAGAATTTCTCGGTTATTGATGAACGGGTTACAATGTCTTCTGACGTGGCATCCGCGTTCGTGCATTAAAAATAGTAGCGAAAACTCGAACAAGAACTGTGAACTGTATATACTTAAGACGAGATCATGTATATGCACGGAATAAAGAGTACGCAATGTGCCGTGTGTGTATTCAGATTCGTCCAATTACGTTTTTCTTTTGTGTGTGTGTGTGTGTGTGCGTGTGTGTTTTTGGCTCAGTTTGTCTCACATGATTTTAATCCCTTTTCTAACCATTTACGTTACATGCTTAAGTTGCCAACAAAAGCTTTTTTTTTTTTTTTTTTTACGGTTGTAAGTACATGCTATTACCAAAAAAGACCCTTTTGCCCTTTGATTCGGCCCAATTCCCATTGGTAAAGGGAAGCTGAAGCGGTTTTGTATTTAAGGAAACACACTTAAATCGTCTTCATTTAACCTCCTACCCGAGCGTGACGTCACAAAAGGATTTTTCGGAATCTCCACTTTTACGTACCTTCAGCGCCTATGAAAGCTATGCACGCGCACTCTTGCTATTTGAAAAGGGCAGATTGCCAGTAAGCAAGGGACGGTTCTCGTCTTAATTGGCATTAGAAAGGCCTTCGACATGGTCCCCCATGTCGACATGGTCCCCCAAGAACCTATGAAATCAGGGCTGACTATACGGAAGTGAAGCTAAGAACAACAAGACAAAGCGAAACCGCATTGGAGTTCCACAGAGAGCGGTGCTTTCCCCCACACTATTTACAAAAGGGATGGCACCGCTCCTGTGGCAACTTCATGAGATAGAAGATCTAAGGGCCATGGCACACGCAGATGCCTAAACCATCCGGAGCTGCGAAGGAACCCAGGAGTGTTAAACGGAAATGCTATAACGTGGCCTAGCCGTGCTCTTAAACTACCTAAAAGAAATAAAGATGCAGCCATCACTAGAAGAAGAAAAAAAACACCATTTATGGCAGAGGGGAGAACAACAAAGAGCTAGGATTAACCTTTCCCGGTAACACCATAGACAGGAAGCCTTTCAAGATTTTGGCGGTGGATGGCTCAAGGAAATCTCGCTAGGTGGTGCCGGGGAGAAGGTGGGCAAAAAGATTGTCATGGCGGTCTTCGTATTTAAAGTCACGTATGTGGCGAATTTGTATTAGCTCAACAAAGCGCACCACCAGGAGCTACAAACTCTCCTGAATGATGCGAGGTGCGGAATCCTTGGATTACCCAGACACACCCGCTTTGAAGAGCTGCACAACTGTAGCTTCCTCCCAGTATTCGGAGACATCCTACGAAAACAAAAGCAGCCCACCTGACAAGACTTCAGCACACCAAGGAATGTAGAGCCATTGCGGCATACATTGGTATCAAAACTCAGATCGAGAACCCCGTTCCGGAGCCAAGGCCTCCATGGGAACTCATCAACCTCACCCCCAGCGTCAAACCTCTCCCACGGAACATGAATACCAAATTACACAAGGAAAGATTGAAGTACCAAGCCAAACTACATCAAAAGGAAGTACAAGAGCTTCTCAAAGACGAAAGCATTATAGTTGTGTATACAGACGCCGCCACCAACCCCACAAACGGCACGTGGGTGGGCGCCGTATCTGTGTACCACGGATCTGACGAAGCACCGCTGGCAAACAGCTGGTCCTACCCTGCCCGACGGGAAAGTATGGAGACTCTGCCGACATAAAGGAGCTCTACGCAATCCTCCTTAGGCTGCGCAGCACCAAGGCGCTTAACGTCAGCGACAACCGACTCATCCTTTACACGAATTCTCAGGCAGCCATCAAAGAAATTCAAAGGCATCGTTCTACCCTGCAGCCCCACAGTAGACCAACGGCCACCAGGTTACAGGAAGAGACATCCGCGGTTCCGGCTCACCACGGGATCCCGTCAAACGAAGCTTTACATGAGGCTGCGCGATGCGGCATGAGAACAATTTCGTTGAGCCCGTCCCCATCCTTGCAGCTCCGCCAGTAAGCTCCAGGATACTCCGATTTGTTCTCTGAAGTCTGCTATCCCAGACAATGGCTCCGCCGCGAATGAAGCAAGCGGCAAAAAGAGTTCAAGACGCTGTGGTCTCCTGTCTACGACCCGATCCCCGACAAGATCTTCCGCAGAACCGATACGGTGGCACTATATGTAGGGTGTGCATTTTCCGGTTTTAACCGAAAAACACCGATAAACATCCGGCGGTGACGAAAATATAAAATCGGTTAAAACCGAAAAACACCGGTGGTTGGATATTTTCGCCCTGGTTAAAACCGAAAAACACCGGTCGTTGCTAGTTTCCGACCTAGCGAAACCCTTTCCCCGTAGAGGTTCGTCAAACGTGTTATCTTGTGGATCCTGCATTCTTCCAGTGTTTATACATGGCTTGCAGGTGGCGTCAGTCCGCCCTCCTTTCTGGGGGTCAAAAGCGTCTAGTGAACGCAGTGGAAGCTAAGCTCTCATACGCCTTTCCCCCATAGTGTCTCCCATGGCCCCCTTTTGTGGACAAATTAACGCAGTGGAGGGTAGGCTCTCACGTGCTTTTTCCTCATTGTGTCTGGCCAAGTGATGTCGGTGCAAGCCATGTATTTAGAGGTTGCTGTGGTTCCTGGAAGACACTGCCAACGTCCGTGTCGTACAGGAGCGTCATAAATGCGGGTTGCGAACCGCAAGGAACGTGCTGCCATGACGGCAGCACGTTCCTTGCGTGTAGATGCAAGCATGAAAGTATGCTTGCATCTACTATAATAACCAAGGGTGAGAAATAGTTGCTTCCTAGAGAAGTGTTTGAACTATATGTGAATAAAATTGGAAATCTTTTTCTGTGATCAATCGCTTTTTTTTTCACCGATAATCACCGATTTTAGCCTCGTCGTGAGACGTTCCACCGAAATACACCGGTGTTTTGAAAATAAATAAACACCGAAAAATATCCGCCGATTTTTCTCACAAATAAACACCGGAAAGTACACACCCTAAAGTCTATATGTACCATCTCTGCACTGGGGTTGCAATAGCTCCTAGGACTATTTATAACATGGAACTCAGTGCTCTTAAAAGAAAAGAACTGTATGCCGTTCCACCGGACCCTTGCTGACAACGGTGTATGAATCCGAACTTGGTCCCCGAGTCAATCATATCATCTGGGAATGCTCGGCCACGGCCTTTCGATTCTCTCCGTCGCTCTTCGCTGTGGCTCGGCCCTCGCCGTGCTTGGGAAGGAGCTCCCACGGGACCATCCTCCCGACGACCGACCTACGACTATGGGACAGTGTACGCACCCAACCGGGGACGCCGGTAGGACGGCTTGGATTCTGTGGTCCCTACTTGACTACTTGTCTCGTGGAGACCTCAGTGCATGAGACCTCCTTACATTGATCACATCATCACCCTATCATTTCCATCGTCGCGCGGAAGTTTTTGAAGAGCGGCCATGTTACTGAATCTCCGCTGGCACGTGGATGATCGTCACTTCGGCGAAGTTCTGCATAATCTCTGCCAATAAATACGCTACGATATATTTTGCATTTCTCCTACCTTCGTTCTATAATCAGGATTCCTTGTTTTCGGATTTTACTCCTCGTGAAATGTGGAAAGTGTTGTTCGGAGTTTATTTTTCGCTAAAAATTAGGAGTGTTTCAGAGTTTATTCTTGCTAGATCCCATACGCCCTGAGATTCAGAGTATATTAGGGGCGAAGCTCCTTAGGGTCTAGCCTTGTCCGTCCGGCGTCCGTGTTCACATTGATTGCACTGCCTCCGGAATCGGCACACTTAAAAAAAAATATATGTATATTAAAAAACGTACGCCCGAACGGGGGTTCGAACTCAGGACCGCTTGCTTACGAGGCAGACGTCTTAAGTGCTGCGCTACACTCGTTTTTTTTTTTTTCAACAAAAAACAAGTTTATTTACATATTGCAGTTTCACGTAACATGCGTGGACGCTTTCATATGTTTAGCTCCAACGTTGCATGTAACCGCTCAACGTCTATACAGGAGAGGGCGCTGCGGTCAAATGCGTATATAATCGCGTTAAAATTTGCATGCTCAACGTTTATAGACGAGAGGGGTAACATGTAATTTTAAGGTGCCACGGGGCTTCGTCACACTCTCTTAGGGGGGATGACTACAGATTTGGAGGGGGCACTGGGATTTGCAGACATGGATGGACGAAAGGATAAGGAAAGAGTTGCGGTAACCAAGAGGTGACCAAGAGGTTACGTCTGACAGTTAACTCATCGGTGTCGATCCAACTTGAACCGAACCAACAAAAAATTGTAGCGGAGCGCCTGATAGCAGCATATCCACTGTGGTATGTGTCAGGAAAGGGGCACCAACCAAGACACCGAACCAACGTACTTCCAAGTTCAGTGCAGTATCTTCAAGAACGTCCGTGCTCATTTTAGCGGATGCTGAAGAACAGTACGCTCAGAGCGAGTACAACAAGCATGGATGCTTGAACGACGCGTTCAATTCGCGAGCGTACGCGAGCGCCAGCGCTGCAGTATTAGTATTACATGCGGAGGAATGGAGTATGATGAAAGATTTTCATTTTCGATTTTCCTAAAAAGGTGTCCTCAGCCACTCATAATGAGTCTCCACCCTCCCATCGGACATCCAAGCCCGGCGGGAACGGTCATCAATGGCAGGAACCCGGGCACGAAACCCAAGTCACCTGACCGGCTTCGCGCTCAGGTGGAGACCCTACGGCTCATCATCGTGGTTGAGGGTGTTCCGAGTTTACGGTTGAAACTCGGCGATCAGCCTATAGAAATGATCCTATGAAGCATGATCTTAACCTCACAAACCTTACGGAAAGCAAGCGCTACGTGGTTGGGCTAGCTAATAAAGCTGGTGAGTCGTGTTACTCTGTAAGAATTTAGCTGCAAATGAATAAAACATCGTACTCAAAAATAGAATTGTCGTAAGCTTCATGCGAAACAGCCACAAACTCTTATTTCGAAATCAGTGATTTCGCGAACACAAAATTGATTTAAGGTTTTGAAGGCGATGCAGTGATTCATTGCGGTCGAATGATTGGTCGGGCTTTGGAGAAAGCCTCAGCAGTCTC